GTGGGGCGGCGGCCCCGGGTCTGACCTTCTACCTTCTGCCGGCTCCGTATTCAATGTTCTTTTCTCGAGGAAACGACGGTGACGGACAGAGTTTGCCATTTTTAAGAAATGCTACTTGCAAAATGAAACCTGCATGCGTAGGGCTACTGTTTGTTTTGGGAATGTGGTCCGTGAGCCGGGCATTGCCCGTCCGGCTCCCGGGCTCCGGCGGGGGAAGACGCCACTCAAGGTCATGGCTGGAGCTGGTGGAGGCGTCATTTGACTGTTGTCCACCCTCCCGCGGGCGCAGACCTGGTGCGTGTGATACGGATCAAGTTGTGCATCTAAATGATGACAGTGAGATCCAATGAACCCATTAGCTTCACTGGGGAAAATTCAGATATTGCTGGCCCATTGAAAGACCAGATCCACAGCTTCGTCATTCAGACCAGATCCTGGGAAAAACAGACTGCACAACAGTGACAGGTTCTGACCAGCTGTCACGGCACTTCCCGCCTTACCTGCTGCCTCTTGGCTGGGGAGCAGTGGTCAGTACTTTGAGCTCATAAATGGATAAACAAGGGCCCATCCCTCCGAAGGCCGTGCTGATTCACCAGGGGGTCAAGGTCCCCAGCGGCGGCCCTCAGGGCGGGGCAGCCTGCAGGTGGCCGAGCCTGGGTGGGGAAGCCATGAGGCCTGTTAGAAAGGGATGGTGCCTCTGGCATCCAGGCCCTCTGCCTGGCAGGCATGGTCAGAAGGGGTCTCAGTGCCAGGCCGGGGTGCCCTTCTCTGAGGCAGGGGCCCTGCACCGTGTCCCTGGAGAAGGTGGCCTTAGTGAAAACTTGATGTTTGCAGTTCCAGCTACTTGTGAATGACCCCATGAGTCTGCAGTTGGTGCAAATCTGTAAGTCCCCACTGCAAAGCTAGAGTCACAAAACCTTTAGTGCACACTATGCTGTTTCATAAAGAGAACTATGCCTTTATGCTGTGTACAGATCTGGGGGCATCCACACATCCAGAGGTGTCTGTTCTGCAGGCTGCGCTGACAGAGTTCAGCCTGGGAGGCCTGGCTTCCTCAGATCCCCTGGCCTGTCTCAGCCTGCTGACCAGCGGGCACTTCGTCTACTGAACTCGGTGCTATGGGAACAGTGCAGGATTCAGGGCACGGATGGGAAGGGCAGTGTGATTTCTGCTGGGTTGTTCATGGAGGAGCTGTCAAGCCCCTTCTCAGTGCTTTACACGTATTAAGTTACCGAATCTTCACCACAACCTTATCAGTAAGTCCTGTTTTTATCTCCATGATACAAGTTAGGAAACCGTGGCCTAGCTAAGCAGTTTAAGTTAAAAATTGGTGTAGAACAATCACATTAAGGAAGGTTGGTTTATATTTGGTTAATGAAGCACAAACAAAAAGTCGGATTCTGTATTTTGTTCTGACCACAGAGTGTTCTGCATGAAGCTGAAGTGAGGATTCTCGCTCTTTGTTGGTGTACGGAGCTGTATTAGAAAAGCGGTTGTCCCTTCGGTTATGGTTTTACAAAAGTTGGTTGAAAAGGAAACGACTTAGAAGTGGCTATTTCCTTTAAAGAAGGATTCCGACCGAGGTTGCCCTTTCTGAGATCCACCTTGCCCGTCCGTGAGGATGGCCTTTCCTGTTGTAGCTCAGATGTGGTGGTTCTGTAGATCCTCTACATTGCAGCCTTCTTTTCGTTTGTTTTTTCTCCATTGATTTTTAGAGAGAGTGGGGGAGGAGGGGAGAGAAGGAGAGAGAAACATCATGTGTGAGAGACACAGAGATTGGTTGCCTCCCACACACACCCGACTGGCCACAGTCCGACACCTGCAACCTAAGTATGTGCCCTTGACGGCGGAATGGAACCCAGAGCCTTCGCAGTGGGGACTGATAACTCTAGCCCGGACCAGCGACATGGCTACATTGTAGCTTTCCATAAAATTGTTAGTTGCCTTATTTTACTTTTTAAAATATGTTTTTAATGATTTTTTTATAGAGACAGGAAGGGAGAGTGATAGAAAGAAACATTGATGAGAGAGAAACATCATCGATTGGCTGCCTCCTGCACGCCCCCAACAGGGGATGGAGCCCACAACCCGGGCACGTGCCCTGATCAGGAATGGAACCGGCAGCCTTTTGGTTCCTGGGTTGACCCTCAACTGCTGAGCTACAATGGCCGGGCTAGTTGCCTTATTTTTAAAAGTAAGTAATACATGTGCCTGGAACACATTTCAAAATGTATGGAAGGGAATTAGATGAAAATTCAGGGCCCCCCGCACCTGTTCCTTGCCGAGACGTGGTCTAAGCCAGAAATGCATTATGGAGGTGTCCTTGCCTCTTTCTCATGGATTCATAGATGTTTGTACTTCGAGAAAGTGAGCTCTTTGTCATTTGTGTCACAAATACTTTTGTCCATCTGTCATTTGCCTTTTGAGTTTACCATACTCTGAGGTTTTAAGTCTTTAATCTTTTCTTTCAGTGTATTTTTTGTTTCATTTTCTAATTTGGCTCTTAGACTCATTTGGTATTGACTCTGGTGAAAGCAGCTTTAGGGGTTCCCTTTATTTTTCCAGGCAGTTGTGAGTAACAGCAGGCGCTGCGCTATGGCCAGACCCTCCATTTGCCAGACTCGCCGCAGACCAGCTCTGCAGCCTCCAGTGCCTGTGTCTCCTGTCACTCGCTGCAGGTTTTGTCCTCCTCCCTTACTGTTCGTTCTCAGAATTTTCCCCATTAGTATTGTACAACTCTTCCCCCATAGGATTGGCATATCTGTTTTTGAACCTAAATTCACTGATAGGCTTTTTGAGGGAGAATTGACTATTATTTTATTGTTATTGTTAATCTTCACCCGAGGGTATTTTTCCATTGATTTTTTAAAAAATATATTTTTATTGATTTCAGAGAGGAAGGGCGAGGGAGAGAGAGAGAGAAACAGCAATGATGAGAATCATTGATTGGCTGCCTCTTGCACGCCCCCTACCGGGAATTGAGCCCACAATCCCCGGGCATGTGCCCCTGACTGGAATTGAACCTGGGACCCTTTAGTCCGCAGGCTGAGGCTCTCTCTATCCACTGAGCAAAACCAGCGGTTCTCAACCTGTGGGTTGTGACCATCGGAAAACACATATAGCATATCAGATATTTACATTACGATTCATAACAGCAGCAAAATTACAGTTATGTAGTAGCAACGAAAATAATTTTATGGTTGGGGGTCACCACAACATGAGGAACTGTATTAAAGTTTCATGGCATTAGGAAGGTTGAGAACCACTGAGCTAGAGCTTTCCATTAATTTTTAGAGAGAATGGGAGAAAGAGGGAAAGACAGAGAGAAACATTGATGTGAGAGAAACACATCGATTGGTTGCCTCCTGCTCAAGCCCTGACCAGGGCCCTGGCCCGGGAAGGAGCCTGCAACCAAGGTATGTGCCCTTGACCAGAATTGAACCTGGGACCCTTTGGTTCGCAGGCCGACACTCTATCCACTGAGCCAAACCCGCTAGAGCTGGGGGAGAATTTACTTTAAGCTTTCCTTTCCCCAAACAGCTGGGCTTTTCATTTGTTCAAGTCTTATGTTCTTTCATATTTAGAGTCTTTTCATATGCATGTTGCACGTTTATAAGGTAGATTCCTCAGTCTCCCCTGGTTGATACTAGAAGTGGGAGTTTCCCCTCCATAGCGGGAAGGCAGCTGGGTGTCCCCAGCCCATGTTCTCTTCATATGCAGTTGCACTGAGGTTGCCCTCGGGTTTCCCAGGTCTCTCAGCACCGGGGCTATTTTCTGTTGTCATGGGCACATCAGCAAGTTCATCCTGCCTTCCTTGTGGGTAGTGTCTCTCCAGGGAAGGAGCGGCAGTGGTCTGGCCCGTGCATGCTGGAGTGCTAACTTCCCCGGCCGGCAAGCCCCTTCTAGCCCCGTGCCTGTGCAGCATCCGCTGGGGGCGGGGGTGGGCCCTGTGTCCCGGGCTGGCACCTAGCACCAACCTGCTCGTGACCCCCTCCACCCTTTTCACCAAACCCTTCCACCTGAGCTAGGCAACCCTGTTGAGCCTGAACATGAGAGGTTTCCTGGGGTCTCTCTCCCACGCTCTGGCCAGTCTGTTGACAACCTCACAGAGACTTGGAACCCGACCCTGCAGTGTCACCTCCCGTGCTGCCACCCAGGTCTGATCTTCATCTCGTCTTTGTCAACGTAAGATTGGTGTGTCGCTGGTACTGTGTGTCCTCAGAATCAAAGCCAGTTCTTAGGGCCTAGAAGCTCCATCCCATCTGATTTCACCTGCCGCCTCCCTGCTGCTCACTCTGTACCGGCCTCACTGGGGCCCTGGGTGCCACCGGGCATCTCCCTCTGCCTCTGCCGGGTCCACTACCCCCAGGACAGCTCCATGGTGATGTCCTCACCTCCTACCAAGCCTGTCGGACACAGGCCACTTGGGAAGCCAGCCCTGAGTGCCCTGTAGCTACAGCAGCATGCCTATCCGTTCACCACCCTGAACATCTTCCCGGGTGTCCTCCACTCAACACCGTCATTGTTCATTGTCAGTCTCCCCCACTTCGTTGAGTGGAACCTAAGAGCAGGGATGTTTGTGCCCTTCACTGATGCATCCCAGACTTCTATAAAAGTTCCTAGCCCTAGCCGGTTTGGATCGGTGGATAGGGTGTCGGCCTGCAGACTGAAAGGTCCCGGGTTCAATTCCAGTCAGGAGCACATGCAGGCTCCATCCCCAGTAGGGGGCGTGCAAGAGGCAGCCCATCAATGACTCATCATCATTGATGTGTCTGTCTGTCTGTCTGTCTGTCTCTCTCTCTCTCTCTCTCTTCCTCTCTGAAATGAATGAAAATATATTTTAAAAAATTCTAGCAGCAGATGACTATGGGGATAAGTCCAAGAGAACATGGACAGCCTCCTGAACACCCGCATCATGTCCGTCAGGCTCTCTGGATCCTGACACTAACCTTAGGAGGTGTGCAGGGCTGTGACCACATGTGTATTCTGTAGAGCAGCGGTCACCAACCGGTGATCTACGGGCCACTGGTGGTCCATGAGATCCGAAAGG